AAGCCCCGCGCAGCGCTCTCCGGGCCCCGCCCTCTGGGCCCGGCCGGCCAGCCACAGCCTCCGTCACCACGAGGCACCGCCCATCGCGCTGAGGCACCGCCCACCACGCGCCTTCGCCCTCGAGGCCCCACCCGTTGATCGTCTCCGCCCCGCCCACCTGGCTCGTGCCCCGCCTATTTTCCTCGGTCGCCCCGCCCTCCACGAGCCGGGTCCCTCCCATGGCCCTCGCTGCCCCGCCCCCACCTGCAAGGCCGCGCCCCTCGCCCGCGGGTCCCAGGTGCGCTCTCCAGCCCGGCCCGCCGCTGCCCGTCCAGGGGCGTGGTGCTGTGGGCCATCCTGCGGGCGCACGCCGGGGTGGGGGGGGGAGGGAGCACGTCGGGCTGAGGGTCGCCTCGGGCGGCCGCGGTGAGGGGCGGGGTCCCCGGCGTGGTCACGACTGCGCATGCTCACCCGCGCTCGAGGGGCGGACGAGCCGCGCCGAGCGGACGGCGAGGGCGCTGGTGTCAGTCCGGAGACTATGGACAAGTATCAGGTGCCGAGCTGGCCTCTGGCTGGGAGGCCGGGGCTGCCCGGGCGGAGGGTCCTCGGTGAGCCCGCGGGCGGGGACCGCGCCCCGGCCAGGGCCGGCCTCCATCTTGTCGGTGTGGGGAGCCGCAGCTGCCCGGCCAGGGAGGAGGACAGCCCCTCGCTCCTTCCCCACGGCCGGGCCTCGAGTCCCTGGCTGTAAAACTCCCCGGTGAGGGGAGACAGGGGTGAGGAGTGGCCGGGGCAGGCTGAAACGCTGCTGACCGGGCTGTAACTCCTAGCCTCAACTTGCTGCCCCAAGCCCAGGCCTCAGCGTTCCTGTCTGGTTCTGCCCTCCCAGCAGAGGCGAGGCCGTCCACAAGGGCCAGGTGACACCCGCGTGGGTCTGCACCCCAGGGTGCTCCTGAGTCAGGGTTCCATCCCACACACAGCCCTCTGCCTTGGCCTGTGCTGACCAGTGAGTGGCCTGTCCCCCGCCGGCCACCCCTCTGCTGAGTTCTGGCTCGGTGGGGTTGGTTCAGATCACAGCCTCTGGACTCAGACCCTGGGGTGCGAATCAGATCCAGGCCACTACACTTATTAATGTCATAGCTTTAGGCCCGGACTTTGCTTCCTGTGCCCCAGTTTCCTCCACTATAAACACGGAGGTAACACCAGGTCGACCCCCTAGGGAGGCTGCCCGGTGCTTGGTGTAAGGCTGGGCACTGGGGTGGTTATGGCTTTGATCATTGGTTGCTTTCTCCCTAGGGTAGTCACTTGGAGGTAAATGCTGGAAGTTGAGACCCCTGTGCCCAAGGGCACATCATATATGTCTGATGGTCCTCAGGGGTTAGAAAGATGTAGAGAGTCTGAGAACTGGCCTGGGGAGATAGCATTGGGTTCCCCTTTGGGGAACCTTCTTGCCATTTCCTCTCCTGTACCATGGGGCAGACCCTGCCAGCCCCTCGGGGGAAGTTGGGGCAACCGGCATGGGAGCTGGACTTAATGGGGGGGAGCACAGAGCAGTGTGCAGCATTTCCTGAGAACATCTTACTGTTTGTTGGTAGATTTTGGATCAATTGAATCCTGGAGCCTTGGGAGTGAATCTGGTTGTGGAGGAAATAGAAACTAAGGAGAAGCTCTTGATAAAACAGGTGAGGGGTGAAGCTCTGTGACTGGGGATGTGGCTCTGTCTGCAGCAGCTGCTCTCCAAGCTCACGCTCATACTCCCTAAGTTAGAGAAAGGCTTTTTGGCCTTTCTCTTGGCCAGCAGGCAGAGGACTAACCTCGCTCCAACAGATCTGAGGCATGGCCTCCACTCCTCAGGCTTCCTGCACCTTGTCTTGATGGAGAATCAGTCCTCATCTTTATTCCACCAACCACAACACTAAGCATGTGCCAGCACCGGGACTTGAACTCAGGGCTTCTTGCTCTTGCTTGGCTTTTTTGCTCAAGGCTGAGACTATCATTTGAGCTACATCTCGGTTTTCAGCTTTTTTTTTCCCCCTGGAGATAAGAATCTCATGGGCTTTTCTGCCTCAGCTGGCTTTTTTTTTTTTTTTTTTGAACTCTGGGCCTAGGCGCTGTCCCTCAGCTCTTCAGCTCAAGGCAAGTGCTCTACCACTTGAGCCACAGCGCCATTTCCAGTTTTCTGGTGATTTATTGGAGATCAGAATCTCATGGACTCTTCTGCCCGGGCTGGCTTTGAACTGTGATCCTCAAATCTCAGCCTCCTAAGTAGCTAGGCATGAGCCACCAGTGGGGGCCCAACAGACTTTGAATTACAATACTCAAATCTCAGCCTGCCAAATAACTAGGATTAGAAATATGCAACCATCTTTTCCTAAGCATTAATGAACTGGTTTTCACAAGAAAGATATTGAAGTTGTTAATTCCGCCCCCCCCCAACGTTTTGCAGATTGTCTCAAGTCACTACCATACCTTTCTCCTAGCCTAGTGCCTGTCTAGCCTTCCACCCCATTTTGCACCAGGAGCTAGACCTGGCCATACTCATCTCCTTGTGTAGGATGAGTGCTTATTTTCAGTTTTGTGTTCAAACAAAAACTGATAAACATCCTAGTGTTTTTGTTTTTGTTTTTTTGGGGGGGTCCGGTCATGGGGCATGAACTCTGGGTCTGGGTGCTGTCCCTCAGCTCTTCAGCTCAAGGCTAGCACTCTACCACTTGAGCCACAGCGCCACTTCCAGCTTTTTTTCTTTTTTGCTTATGTGGTGCTGAGGAATCAAATCCAGGGCCTCATGCATGCAAGGCAAGCACTCTACCACTGAGCCACCTTCCCAGCCCCGTGTTTTTGTTTTTTAACTGAACATCCATGATTTCCTTAGGAAAAATCCCTAGAATGGGATTTCTGAGTATTTTGTAGGCTCTCAGTATATTTGACTGATTTGTATTCACAGACTTGGTAATAGTTATGATGACGATGGGGGTAATTGTGGGTAGTGGTGGGGGTAGTGGTGATGGTGATGATGGTGGTAATAGTGGGTGATGGTGGTGGTAGTGGTAGTGGTGATGATGATGGTGATAGTGGTGGGGGTTGGTACTGGTGATAGAGGTGGTAATGGTGGTGGTGGTGGTGGTGGTGGTGGTAGTGATGGTGGTGGTGATGGGTGGTGGTAGTAGTGGTGACAGTGGTAATGGTGGTGGTGGTGGTGGTGGCGGTGGCGGTGGTGGTGGTAGTGGTGGTAGTAATAGTAATGTTGGTGCAGTGATAATGGTGGTGGTGATGGTGGTGGTGGTGGTGGTGGTAGTGGTGACAGTGGTAATGGTGGTAGTGATGGTGATGGGTGGTGGTAGTAGTGGTGACAGTGGTAATGGTGGTAGTGATGGTGGTGGTGGTGGTGGTGGTGGGTGGTGGTGGTGGTAGTGGTGACAGTGGTAATGGTGGTAGTGATGGGTGGTGATGGTGGTGATGGTGGTGACAGTGGTAATGGTGGTAGTGATGATGATAGTGGTGATAGTGGTGGTAACAATGGTGATGGTAGTGTTGGTGATTATGATGGAGGTTCACTGAACAGTTACTGATCTGGTCCTCTTGTACCCCTGCAGGTGGAATGCATCGATGAGCATCATGCCAACGAGGCTCTGGAGGAGGTAACTGTCTGGCTGGCTTCCTCTCTAGAGGAATAGGATTCAGACTGGGAAACTGGTCTGTGCCTTGTTGAGTGCCAGCTGAAGGGAAGCCTGGAGGGTCACGGTGTGCTCTTGCACAGGCTACTAAGGGAGCCCATGTCCAAATGCCTGCTCCTAGATGCTACCCAAGCGCTGCCACGTAGGACCCTTGCTCCTAGAGAAGTTGAAAGGTATCTGGTGGCTCAGTCCATAGGCTAATTTATCAATAACTATGTTTTAAATTTTTTGTATTTGGCTGGGCACTGGTGGCTCACACTTAAAATTCTAGCTACTCAGGAGGCTGAGATCTAAGGGTCACCATTTGAAGCCAGCCCGGGCAGGAAAGCCTGTGAGACTCTTATCTCCAATGAACCACCATTAGTTAAAACCAAAAGTGGGGGCTAGGGAAGTGACTCAGTGGTAGAGTGCTTGCCTTGCATGCATAAAGCCCTGGGTTCGATTCCTCAGCACCACATAAGCAGAAAAAGCCAGAAGTGTCACTGTGGCTCAAGTGGTAGAGCACTAGCCTTGAGCGGAAGAGCTGAGGGACAGTGCCCAGGCCCAGAGTTCAGGCCACACAACCAATCAAAAAAGAAAAAATAAATAAAACAACCAGAAGTGGTGCTGTGGCTCAAAATGGTAGCTTTGCGTGCAAAAGCTCAGGGACAGTGCTCAGGCTCCGAATTCAAGGCCCCATGGCCAAAATAAATAAATAATAAATAAAATCTTTTTTCTTCAGGGCTGCACATGTAGCTCAGTGTTGGAACACTGGCTTGCCTAACATGTGTAAGGCTTTTGATTCTATCCCCAACACTGAAAAGAGCAAGAGATGGTGGGGGGAGGGGGGAGAAAAAGAAGGGAACAGTAAATGGGTAAATTATCCTTAATTCTGCCCCTCATAACTGACCACTAGTGTCCTCCTGATTTGTAGACAGTAATGACAGTGGCCAGTTTAATACACAGAGCCTCTGAGCAATGCTCTGTCTCTGGGTCTTCTCCGAGGTGAGTTGTGTCTCCTCCTTGGAACGGTCCTGCTGGAATGGCCTGCCTTGCTCTTTGCCAACCATCACCTCCCAGGTCTGCAGCATAGCTGGAGGGTGATGATTGGCCGGGGCATGTGGGGCACGTGGAATTCCCCTTCCGCACTGCCACGGTCCTGCTCCCTTCCACATCCCCAGGCACGCAGCTCTGCCAGCGCCATCGGGCTCAAGGCTCCAGAGTGGCCATTGTGGTCAGACGCCTGGGGTTCTTGCCCAAGTCCTTTCCCTGGGAGAAGAGGCTGCAGAAGTTCTTGGTTGGATAACCTGCCCTGGGCCGCACACCTTCTGAGGCCCAGCCCTTCCTTCACCTCCTCCATGTCTGCCCTGTACCTGCACTGGCTCACCAGGGGCAGAGTCCACAGCCTCCACCATTTGTCTTTTTGTTTGTTTTTGTTTTGCAATGCTACAATCAAGTCCAGGTCTTACACATGCTAGGAAAGTGCATACCTCCAGCCCACCTTGTTTTCACACAAGCAAGTGAGGCTCAGAGAGGTTGAGGAGTCTGTCTCAGTCACACAGCATGCCAGAATATGCTAGAGATGAGCCTCTAGCTTCCATGCACCAACAGTACAGACTCTGTACCCACCCGCTGCCTGCCCAGATCCGGCAGCTGACATTTTTGTTGGGATCTATGACAAAGAGCTCCACCAGTTAAACACTGGCTCCCCTCACCCCTGCCCCTCTGCTCTGGTCTCTGCAGCTGATGCCTCTGCTGAAGCTCCAGCATGCCCACATCTCCGTGTACCAGGAGCTCTTCATCATGTGGAACAGAAAGGTGGGTCCGAATGGCCCTGCAGCCCTGCACTCATGGCTCACGCCCAAGAGCTGAGACTCATGGCTTGAAGCCAGTCCTGGCAGGGAAGGCCATGGGATTCTTATCTCCAGTTAACCACCCCAAAACCTGGAAGTGGAGTTGTGGCTCAAGTGGTAGAGTGAAAAAGCTCAGGGACAGTGTCTGGGCCCTGAGTTCAAACCCCAGAACCAGCAACTGATCCCCCAGGTTTTCAGGCTAGGAGGCATAAGTAGGTGCCCTGACTCCAGTAGTCTGTGTGTGCGGCTTCAGGGCTGCCCTGGCTTTGGGGCAGGAGTGCTCCTGCTCCCTCAGAGAGGACTGAAGTGGAGGAGGGAAGGGAGAGGGGGAAGCTGAGGCCAAGAGGGATGGGAGTCCCAGTGGCTGGACCACATCTCCACATCAGCCTGTGTCCCTGCCTAGGCTGGAAACCCCTTACACACGTGCTCCCCCACATCTGGGTTCTGAGGAAGTCTGTGGGGAGCCCTCATTCCATGCATGCACCCAAAGTATCTCCTGAGACACACCGTGTTGCTCTTAGGAGGAGCAGAGCTATCCCCTGCTGGCCCAAGGCAGGACTGGCTCCTGGGGAAAAGTACTCCCCTGAGCCCTGAAGGAGCAGTTACTCCAAAAGGGGAGAGGGTGGGTCCGTAGGAGGGCCCCCCACATGCAGCGGTCAGAGGCAACTGGAGCTTTTGGCAAAGTCTAGGATGCTGAACATAGCCAGAGCCCAGCGGGGCCCCACAGGGAGAGACGGGGACCCTCAGGAAGAGACAGGAGACCCCGCCAGCAGCGTCCCCACAGCAGCAATCAGAGGACGCCTGGCCTATAGGGCACCCAGACCGGCTCAGGGTCCTCGTGTCCCGGCAGATCTCCTCTCTGTTCCTCTGCATGGTAATGGAATACAGCAAGGAAACCCTGCTGGATGTCATTGAGAATAAGAGGAAGAAAAGGGCGGCCATAGACGCCGGGGTAAGAAGCCTCTGAGTCAGCAAGCCTGGGGAACATGGAGACCCGAGACCCCACAGGCCCCGCGGTGGGGCGCAGAGGGCAGGGGCCTGGCACACCCCACTGGGCCTGGTTCAGCTTTTCTTCCTTCCTTGTCTTCCTTTAATTTCTACCTTTTCCTTTTTTCTTTTCTTCCCTGCCTTCTTTCCTTCCTATTTAGGAGTACTGGTGTTGGAACTCAGGACTGCAGGTTTGCTAAGCAGGCACTTCACCACCAGAGCCAGGCCCCTGTACTTTTGGGGGGCTTTACTTATCTTTTCAAAAAGATCTTATGTTTCTGCAGAGACTGGTATCAGATCTCAGTCCTCCTATTTATGTTTCCTATGTAACTGGGATCGCAGGAACCACCACACCCAGCTTTTTTTTTTTTAATTGAGATGGGGTCTCAATGAAAACTAACGTTTCCACCATGAGCATCCTGGCTGCTAGCACTGAGGAGCTAGGATTACAGGTGGGCACCATCATGCTCAGGCCCTAGATTTTTCTTACATATGTGGGCCGAGGCATGTCCCTTGATGCATTGCAGATGCTCATGCACTCCCCTAATCTCCACAAAGAGCAAGAAAGACTCCTAAGACTCCAGAAGGTTCCCAGCCCGTGGCCCCAACCCGGCATCTGCCTCCAGAGATTGTATGGTGCCTCGTGAAGTCCATCCCGTGCACTGGGTGGGTGGCTCATCTCTGGTATCCGCATGCATGTTGTCTGTTCCACCCTGCGCTTCTGGGTGCACCCCTCATGGGATGCAGCAAGCCTCTGCTGGTCTGAGGCATCGCAAGCACGGGCTGGTCCTGCTGGTCTGAGCCTTTGGCTGTCCAGGAGCCTGTGAGGAGCACTGCTGGGGTGCAGTTTTCCTCAGATCCACTCCTTGGGAGTGAAGTTACCGGGTGTGTGGGGTGTACCCTCAGTAGGTGTTCCGGATGTTTCCAGTGTTTGCTTTCCTAGTGAGCAGTGAGGGTCCCCCTTCCACGTGATGGCCTGAACAGAACTTCATTGTCATTGTGTGTCTTTTTCGTGGTAGCTATTCAGGGGAGGGAGGGAGGGAGGGAGGGAGAAAGAGAGAGAGAGAGTGTGTGTGTGTGTGTGCGCGCACGTGTGTGTGTGTGCTGGTACTAGGGCTTGAACTTGGGGCCTGGTTGCTATCCCTGAGCTCTTTTAAGGCTAGCTCTCTACCACTTGAGCCATAGCTCCACTTTTTGCTGGTTCAATGGAGATAAGAGTCTCATGGACATTCCTGCCTGAGCTGGCTTTGAATTGTGTTCATCGGATCACAACCTGCTGAGTAGCTAGGATTATAGGCTTGCACCCCAGCACCCTGCTAGATAGTGGTACTCTATAAGGGCTTTAATTTGCACACTGTGAGTCACCAGGGTGGCACATTTAGCAATTTGGATTTCTTCTTTTGTGCTTGATCCAGTCATTTGTCCATTCACACACTTGAGTTTCTTCTCTCTTTTATTAGTAAGATTTCATTATATGTTGTCCAGATATTATATGATTATCCAGGTACCTCCATCCCACCTCGGGCTATTTTCCCCCCAGTCATGGGGCTTGAACTCAGGGCCTAGGCATTGTCCGTGAGCTTTTGCACTCCAGGCTAATGCTCTACTACCTTGAGCTACAGCTCTGCTTTTGGTTTTCTTGTGGGTAATTGGAAACAAGTCGCATGGACTTTCCTGCTCAGGCTGGCTTTGAACCGCTATCCTCAGATCTCAGCCTCCTGAGTAGCTAGGATGACAGGTGTGAGCCACCAGTGCCCAGCCTAGCCTGAGGCTTTCTAATTCCTTTTTTCTTTTCATTTTTTCCTGACAGTCCTGGAGTTTGAAGTCAGAACCAGATTTACTAATCTGGTACTTTGCTGCTGAACCATGCCTCCTGCTCTTTTTTGCACTGGTTAATTTTGAGATAGCGTCTCCCTTCCTTCCTGGACACATACCTAGACTGTGATCCACCTAGTTCAGGCTTCCCATTGTGGCAGAGACCACAGGTTCACATCCAGCTTATGTGGACTTTTCTGCCCATGCTGCCCTGAGCTGCAGTCCTCCTCATCTCCGTCTCCTGTGTGGCTAGGATGAGAAGCACAGGCCACCGCACCCAGCTGTGGTTGAGAAAGTGCTCTTGCAAACTCTTCTGCCCTCAAACCCGGATCTTCCCTGATCTCCGCTTCCCCAGTAGCTAGGCTGAAAGGTGTGAGCTACTGGGATCAGGGCAAAGGTCTTTGTCATAACAGAGTTGCCAGTGCCGTTCCGGCCTCTCCACCCTGGCTCAGGGTGCTCTCCTGCTTTCTTGTAGAAGCTTTGTTCTTGACTCTCACCCTTGGCTCTAGGTATCTCCCCAAAAGAGTTCTGTCCACTTTTCCCTAAGCATTGCTCTGTTGAGTGGGCCAGGCCCCATCTTCCCCCAAAGGGAGTGTCAGTGGGGACAAAAGTCCTTTCATGACCTGGGCCTCAGAGGAAAGCTCTGGAGAGGTTTTCAGACCATCTCTCATGGGCAGAGCCCTTGGGGAAGCATAGATGTCCCCAGGACCTAGAGAATGAGGCAGGGCTACCTTAGCTGCATTATGGGAGGAAGCCCCAGGGCCTACCCCCTCTTCCCCTCCCACACCTACCTCCCTGACTCCTGGCAGTAGCTGGGGGGTGCCTCGCTGGGGGGCTCTCAGGGCCCTTCCCAAGCTGGCATCTCCCTTTCTCCCTCAGTGGATGCAGGACATTCTTGGCCAGGCCATGGACGCTCTGGATTACCTGCACCAGCTGGGCATCATTCACAGGTGATGGGCAGGGCCTCCTCCCACTCAGGTGTGGGCCTGGGGGTGGGGCATGATCCGGTCCCTCCCCCCACCCTCCTCAGGATGGGCCACTCCCCCTCCCCTCCCCGTCCCAGGCTAAGAGAAGCCTGGCTGACTGGTGGTAAGGTGCACCGCTTTGTGAATGTGCAGACAAGTGCCCGGTGGTTCTAAAGTGCAAGGGAGGTGGAGATAAGGGAGGAGAGGTGAGGCCACCTGCAGTGGCCTGGCTTGGGGACGGGACAGGCCAGCATGGGTGCCATACCCCAGGCCAGCCTTTGGCCTGCCAGCTCCCAGCTTCTGGCACCAGAGGAGGAGCTGGGAAATGGCTTCCATTCTGGCATCCAGACACTGACGTCGTTTAATGTCTGTCCATCCTTCCTTCTTCCATCCTTCCCTTTTCTCTCCCTCTCTTCCTCCTTCCCTCCTTCCTTTCCTTCCCCTTTATTTCTCTCTCTCTTCTTTTTTTGTGTGTCAGTTGTGGGGCTTGAACTCTGGGCCTGGGCACTGTCCCTCAGCTCTTCAGCTCAAGGCTCTACCACTTGGGCCACAGCACCACTTCTGGTTTTCTGGTGATTAATTGGAGATAAAGAGTCTCAAGGACTTTCCTGCCCAGGCTGGCTTTGAACCACAATCCTCAGATCTCAGCCTCCTGAGTAGCTAGGATTACAGGCATGAGCTACCAGCGCCTGGCAACAGGAGCATTTTTCTGAGGAGAGAGGAGGGCCAGAACTAGGCCAGGAGGGGAGTGAGGTTTAGGGCCTGTGCTGGTCTGCCTGGCAGCTCTGAGATCCTCAGGGTCCCACCTTTTGGCCACAGGAACCTCAAACCCTCCAACATCATCATCATAGGCAACACCCAGTGCAAACTTGAGGACCTCAGCTCCCACACGCTGATGACCCACGAGGCCAAGTGGAACATTCGTGCGGAGGAAGGTGGCCGAGAGGAGGGGTGATGAGCCCCCGGGGAGGGCAGCTCGCAGGTCCACGGGGCAGGGCCACTCTGGGTGCCGGGCTTTTCGATCAGAAGGTCCCCACAGACCTGCCTCAAGTCCCAAAGAGGTGCCCTGGCTGGGGCTGGAGCTGAGCAGATATGGCCCCTGTGGTCGTAAATGCAGACTCCGAAATAACAGATTGGAGAGAAAGCACCCCAGGAACAAAGCAAGGTCTGGGGTACCCCTGAAAATGCTAGTGCTTTGTTTTTTGTTTGTTGTTGTTGTTTTGGCAGTCCTAGGGACTTGAACTCAGGGCCTGGACACTGTCCCTGAGCTTCTTTTGCTCAAGGCTAACACTCTACCATTTGAGCCACAGTACCACTTCAGTCTTTTTTTGTGTATGTGGTACCCAGAGCTTCATGCATGCTATGCAAGTACTCTGCCATTAAGCCACATTCCCAGCCCCTGTTAGTGCTTATGTATGCAAGGGAAGACCCAGGAGGAAGGAAACAGTGTGGAGGGGCAGGGGTGGTCTGTGGGGTACAGACATGGGCGTGGGTGTGACTGGAATCCTGAAGTAGCCTAGGGGATGAGTCAGGGCAGCAGAAGGGAGATGAGTTCTCTTCCTTTGAAAAGATGGCAGAGTAAAGGAAGCAGCTTCAAGGCTTAACAGACACCCACCCAGGTGGACAGAGAAAATGAAGTAGAGAATTTCAGTCCCAAGGTGGCAGTGGTTAGTGGCACTTTTTCTTTGTTATACAGAGGATGGTTGGATGGATGGGTGGGTGGATGGATGGGTGAGTGAATGGATGGATGGATAGATAAGTAGATAAACGAATGGATAGGTGGATGGATGGATGTAAGGATGAATGGATAAATGGATGGTTAAGTGGGTAGGTGGTTGGATAGATGGATAAATGGAGAGGTGAACAGATGAGTGAGTGGGTGGTTGGATAAATGGGTGAATGGATAGGTGGGTGAATGAATGTAAGGATGGATAAATGGATGAGAAGGGGTGGGTGGTTGGATAGATGAGTGAATGGATGGAGGTGGATGAATAGATACAGGGGTGGGGGGACAGCTGAATGGACCGGTGGGCGGGTGGATACCAGGTGGGTTGTTGGAGGTGGAAATGGCTGGAGTATCTTGGCATGCAGCCCGTTGCCGTTTGGCCAGGGGAATGGAGCCTCAAAGCCAAGTGGAGGCCAAAGAGGGAGGGTTGCCTAAGGACAAGCAGAGACTGGCAGAGCTGAGCTAGGACCCCAGTCTTTCAGCTCCTCTAGAGTACACATTTGGAAATAGGGCAGCGCAACCAGAACCTCACCCCGGTCCTGACACTTAGAGGGGCGAGCTGTTGGCGGAGGTGCACCCTTCAGTCTTCTTGGTACATGGCTCTTTCCGCACACCCCAGCCAGCATGCCAGGCCGATGGTCTCCCTGCTCAGCTGAGGCAGAGGTCTAGTTGAGCCATGGCTCCTACTGCCCTCAGCTAGCATTTCTTGCCTCTCCCAAGAAGGGCTGGCAGTTCATACAGTTTCATGGGGTCACTAAAAAGGGTGCAGTTCTCGTCTAGGAGGGCTCTGTCCTGCCTCCACCTTTAGGGAGCCTGGGACCCAGCATTCTCTGCCTTTCTCCTGCCCGCAGACCCCTGTCAGAAGTCGTGGATGGCCCCCGAAGCCCTCAACTTCTCCTTCAGCCAGAAATCTGACATCTGGTCCCTGGGCTGTATCATTCTCGATCTGATCTGCTGCTCCTTCCTAGATGTGAGCTGTGTGCTGGGGGCGGGGCCCGCTCTCACCCAGCCTCCAGTCCCACCCACGGCCCCACACTCAGCCCCTGTCCATTCTGGCAAGAGGACAGGGCAGCAGGGGCCATGATCCTTGGCATCTGCCATCAGCTCTGCCTCTGATGGCTAGAAACCACCCAACCCGAGGCCCCTGGCTGGAGCTGAGGGCGGCAGAGGCTGCCTCTTGGGAGACTAGACCTAAATACCCCAGGGCTAATTGCCACACAGGCCAAGCTGGAGTGAGATGCATTCTCCTGTCCTTGTCAGGGGGTCATGGTCACCTGACAGGAGGCAGGTAGGAAGCTGAGCCTTTGGGGGGGGCACGCGACAGTGCCAGACACAGGCATGGATGCCCCCATTCCCCATTCCTAGGCCCAGGTCCCCAGAAAGTACAAGCACCTGTCTGGGCCCCAGCTCCCTCACGCTTTCCCAGAGCCTCCAGATTTAAACTGAGAAGCACCTTGCCGTTCCCTTCCTCAGGGGAGCCCGGGCCTTCCTGCTTGGAGGGAGGACCAGAGGGAGGACAGGCTCCACCCCAACCTGCACTAGGGGCCCCCTGCCCACCTCTGCCCGGTGAGATGGCCACATGCTTCTCTGAGCCTGTGTCTTCTGTGGCCTCCAGCTCCCCTCTAGTCCTCTTTCTGGTCCCCAGCCCCCCTCCGCCCTTCCGTGCATGGCTTTCACTTAGTTGTGAAAACACACAAACCAGAGGCCTGCATCCTTGTAGACCACAGAGGCCATGAACCTGCGGAAGTCCCTCCAGACCGGAGGTAACCTGAAAGACATTCTGAAAGACATCTTGGACCGGAAGGTCCCCAGTGCAGAGACTTCCTGCTCCCTTCTGCCACTTATGCTGCAGATCAGCCCGTCCAATCGAATCTCTATAAGGTGAGCCCGGAGGGTTTTTGTTTTTGTGTTTGGTGTGCTGGTCCTGGGCCTTGAATTCAGAACTTTTGCACTCAAGGCTAGCACTCTACCACTTTAGCCAGATCTCCACTTCTGGCTTTTTGGTAGTGGACTGGAGTCTTTTGGACTTTTCTGTCCAGGCTGGCTTTGATCAGTGATCCTCCCATTCCAAGTGTTAGCCACTGGTGCCTGGCAGGGTCGGGTTTTTATTTTAACTATTAATTTATTTTTCACAATGTCTGCACCTAGCAAACATGGCTGCTGGTCTTTTTTTTTGCCCCTATCCTCGCTACATCCTGTTGCACGGATGCAGCCTTGCCCAGCCGGAGACCCTGAATGCAGGCCTCTCAACACTGGGCCACACCCCCCCATCGTCAAGCACGGGAGACAGCCCCAGGGAACCATGACACTTTTAGGGGTTCATGGAAAGCCAACCAGGAGTGAATCCCGCTTGGCTTAGATGAGTCTTTATAGCAGCATAGACATCCAGTCTGAATTTCTCTTTTTATATGAAGGGACAGGGCCCAAGACCACCCTGAGGGGCTCCCCGCAAGGTTTTGGCCGGGGGGTGGATGGAAAAGCTTGTGCTGGCCACACAGGGCACCATGAGAGACCCTGCCAAGCAGATTCTATCCCAGGATGGCCGCGCCCAGTGTCAGCCATGGAGGGCAGCCTGAGCCCAGCGGGGGGAGTGGCCTGGGGGAGGCCACCACGTGCGCTCTCGCTCCCTCCCGCCCCCCCTCTGCTAGGCAGGTCATACACATCACCTTCACGGACAGCTCGTCCAGGCCGCCCCGAGTCATGCTGACCCTGCAACAGCAGGTGGTGCCCATGGCCGTCACTGACATGCTCTTACAAGGCAACCTGGGCAGCATTTTAGGTGACAGTGGGGCCCAGGGAAGGCTGAGGGTGCTTCCTTTGGGAGGGTTGGTCCTTGGGGGATCTGCTCCTCCTGCCTGGCCAGCGGGGGGCGGGGGGTGGCTTCCAGGCTCCTCACGCCCCCCACCCCCAGCACGCCCCGTGCTGCTTGGCAACTGCCCTGCCCAGATACCCTCCATGGCTGCCAGTTCGCACAGCAGAGTTCATCTCCATAGCCCGGCCTTCACCCACGAGCTGACCCCACACACCACCTCAGTGGTGGGCTGGTGTACCACGGTCTGCTGTCTTCACTCAGCCTGAACTCGTGGGCCAGGATGAGAGGCAGCCCACTGAGGCCGGGGGAGGGGCTCGCCAGACATGGGCACTATCACCGACAAGCTGCTCAGCCCCAGGGGATAAGAGCGCCGCCTCATGGCCCGATGGGGCTGGTCTGAGGAGGGGCGGCAGGCCAGCAGCTAGGCATGGGGATGGTGCCCTGGTGGCCCCGGCCCTCAGCGAGTTTCCCCATGCCCCCTGTTGCTGCAGAGGTCATGCAGAACTTCTCCAGCAGCCCCGAAGTCCAGTTCAGGGCCATGAAGAAACTAATGACCATGTCGGATGATGAGCTAGGTAGAAGCCTTCCCCCCTCCCCCTCCCGCTGTCCAGGCTGCTTCTAGGACAGACCCTGGAGCCCAGCACTCTGGGCCTGGCCACCCTTCCTACCCCTTAAAGGCGGTTTACGTCCCCAGAAGGGTTCCATGTGATTGACACGGAGCTAGTAGCCAGCCTCAGCCCCTCTCACCCCAGCCCACAGATAGCCTCTGCCAAGGCAGCCACTGCTGTGGGTGCTGGGCTCAGGCTGTGGTTCAAGGCCAAGTGCTTTCATTGTGTCAGGCCTTCTGCTTTCCCACCTATAAAGTAAGGGCCATAAGGAGAAGGCCGACGGCACTGAGCTGCGGGAAGCATATGCCTCCACAGCCAGGCACAGCAGCACTTGCCTCTAGTCCCAGCACCCAACTTGGGGTGGCGGGGAGTTGAGGCAGAAGCTCTCTTGAGCCCTGGAATTTGAGGGCAGCTCAGACAATATAGACTCCATCTTTCAAAAAAGGGAGACAGTGGCACTGGAACGTGTGCACTGGCCAGCTTTGCCTTTGTGCTTTCCTGCTCAGGTCCCCTCTGGGTCATGGAGTGGCTTCCCCCCACGCTCCCTCCCCCCCTCTCCCCCCAGCCCGTGCCTCACTGTGCTGCCTGCCCCTCTGGTGTCCCAGGGGCCCCTCTGGGTCATGGAGCAGCGGCTCCCTCCACTCCCCGGTGCCTCACTGTGCCTCTGCCCTGCCAGGCCTGCCATGGCCCATGGAGATGGTGATGTCAGTGACTGCCATCATGAAGCAGCACCAGAGGATCCTAGAGCTGCAGCTGTGCACCTGGTCCCTACTGCTGCATGTCATGGGCCAAGGTGGGTGCCAGGCCAGCCACGGGAGACAATTGTTTCTCCAGGAATCTGATTGCTAGAAGCCCATCCCCAGCTGCCAGGTGCAGGCCAGGTGTCTTCCCCCCCCCCCCCCCGTCCCCTGCCCCGGCTTCCCGGCTGCGCAGTGAGGACCTGGATAGGACAGAGTCCTCTAGACACCCCCAGACCGAGGCACTGTACCTTCAGGGGCCCCCAGCTGGTGGGAGGGCAGCTGAGGAGCATGGGGACCAGAGGGGGCAGTACTGAGCCTGCTACCCAGGAGCAGCTGTAGCCGAGCTGTTCTCCTGTAGCTCTCTGTAAAACTGCCTTTGATTTTAAACCTAAAGTAGTTGTGTTGCTTTCTTGTCAGTTGTGGGGCTTTAACTCAGGGCCTGGGAGCTGTCCCTGAGCTCATCAAGACTAGTGCTCTACCACTTTGAGCCATAGCACCACTTCTGGTTTTCTGCTGGTTAACTGGAGATGAGAGTCTCATACTTTCCTGTCTGGGCTGGCTTTGAACTGTAATCCTCAGATCTTAGCCTCCTGAGTAGCTAGGATCACAGGCGTGAGCCACCAGTGCCCGGCTAAGTAGTTATCTTTCTAGCTTACCTACTAAAGGATGAACTTCTGCATACCATTTAAACGTCTTAGCTGGTACCAGGCCAGTGTGCACACAGGCAAGTCCTCTGAACTTCCGAGTTCTGCCAGCACAAACCCAGTAGGCTCCGGGAGGCCAGCACGGGCCCAAGACGCAGGAGGGCCAGGCTGGGGCCCTCTGTCCTTCATGGCCAGGCCCTGTCTGTGCCCAGGTCTGCTCCATGCTGGGGGGATGAGGCAGACTGAGGTTCCTCAGCAGTAAAGTGGAGGTGCCACTCCCCATCAAGGAGGGCCCCATGTGCCCTGTCTGCCTGCCCCTGAGCCTCCCCTGTATGGGGTCAGCTCAGGTTCCTCCCCGATCTGAGCAGCACTGATGCAAGGTGATGAGGCACAGGCAGCAAAGACGCAGTGGGACAGCTCCATCATCGTCTACCTGCTGAGCACCATGCGGAGCCACCCCGACTCCGTGCAGCTCATCACCACGGGCCACAGCATCCTCACCATCATCTCCAGCCAGGGTGCGCAGCCCACCCCACGGGAGAGCCAGGGGTACAGAATGCCAGGGCTGGGGGGTGGCATGGAACTTATCCCCAAGAGGACTCAAGTGGTGAGCGGCTCTGCTCTGATGTTGGGTGCTTTCCTTTGCACTCTCAGTGACACCCGCTTTTACAGCCACCGGTTCCTCCACAGATGGGCCTAGGTGCCAGGCACATGGCAGGCACAGCCATGGGCTTCGCACACATTGACATCACGCTCTGCGCCCGCGGGCTTGGAGGCTACTGGCCAGGCGGGCAGTGCCCTTTCCTCCTGCCCTCGAGTGGGCACCGATGTCCCACAGAAAGCAGCAGACTCGGAGAGCTCAAGGCTACATGCCAGAAGTCCCAGGAGGGCAGGGCTGGGTCCCAGTCTGCTCCCTTCACACCCCAAAGACTTCCCATCCATCACTGAACACACGTGGGGATGAAAGGGACTCTAGAAACAGATATGAACTGGAACGGCCAGGCACACTGGACATCTGCTTTCCCACTGGGAAGCTACAGCGACTGCCCCCAGCTTGGTAACGGCTGAGGGATGCTGGGTGGGGTCAGGAGATGGGCAGCTCCTCCAGGGCCAGCTCCAGAAACACGTGGGAGGGCAGGTGGGGGGAAGGGTGGAATGCCTGGGGTGTCTTCTGCCCTCAGGCGCTGTCTCCGAGGAGATGCAGAAGGCGGGACTGATTGAGCTGCTCCTGGAGCACCTGAACCGCTACGCCAAGGACAGGGATGTCTGCCTCCGTGCCCTGGGCCTACTCTGGTCCCTCCTCGTGGACGGTGAGGGCCTCCCATCACGGCCTCCACGTCCTAGCTCGTAAACACACCAGGGCAACCCTAGCCCCCGAGGTGCAGAAGGGGAGGGGGACAAGGCAAGTCCAGCGCTGGCACCTGGCTCTGGAGGTCAGCCAGAAAGCTGAATGCCCATCCTCGGATTTGATTCAGAGAATGGGAGCCCCCGGCCAAGGCCAACCCTCTTCTAGGTCCTACCTGGCACCCTAATGCCTGAAGTCTGTTTTACCCAAAGGAAGATTCTGGAAAGTCCAGAGAGCCCCAGACACTGAACAATGCTCAAAATATCAGTCCCCAAGCCTCTCTGGGGGATTCCTGCCCCATAGACTTTCTGGCTTTGGGGAGCTCCACCTTCTGTTCTCTGAGGACACGTGTCCGTCCCGGTTTGTTGTTGGGCTCGGCAGGAGGGAGCAGCCGCACACGCTGCTGCTCAAGGTCTGGGTATCTCCTGTCCTGCCCCACATCCAGCCGTCATTGTGGACAAAGGCCCACTGGACCAGATCCCTGCCCTGGTCATCCAGCAACTGGCCACCCACCCTGAGGATGGGGAGATGGCTGAGGCAGGCTGCGCGGTGCTCTGGCTGCTGTCCTTACTCGGTGAGCAGCCGTGGCTGAGGAGGGAGGCTGGCCCCACAAGCCCAGGCACCGAGGCCCACCTGCTCTCTGCAGGCTGCATCAAGGAGTCGCAGTTTGAGGCTGTGGTGACGCTGTTGCTGCAAAGCATCCGGCTGTGCCAGGACAGAGTGCTGCTGGTGAACAATGCCTTCCGGGGCCTGGCCAGCCTCACCAAGATGTCAGGTGAGCCCCGGGAGGGACAGAACTGCACCAGAGGCTGCACAGAGAGTCCCCGGCAGTCATTCCTGCCAGCTGCCACAAGCCACGAAAGGAAAGCCGGGCACCAGTGGCTCAAGTCTGTATTCTTGACTGCTCAGGAGGCTGAGATCTGAGGATCATGGTTTGAAGCCAGACTAGACAGGAAAGTCTATGAGACTCTTAGCTCCCACTAACCAGCAAAAAAAAAGCCAGAAGTGGCGATGTGGTTCAAGAGTAGAATGCCAGCCTGGAGCAAAATAGCTAAGGGACAGCACTCAGGCTCTTGAGTTCCAGTTCCAGCACTGGCACCAAAAAATAAATGATGGGCTGGGAAGGTGGCTCGGTGGTAGAGCGCTTGCCTTGCATGCATCAGGCCCTGGGTTCGATTCCCCAGCACCACATAAGCAAAAAGAAAAAAGCCAGAAGTGGCACTGTGGTTCAAGTGGTAGAGCGCTAGCCTTGAGCTGAAGAGCTGAGGGACAGTGCCCAGGCCCAGAGTTCAGGCCCCACAACTGGAGCCCAAAAACAAAACAAAAATAAATGAATAAAAGGAAAAGCAAAATGTGTACACAAAGCACCACCATGGGCACCCTTCAGTGTTCTGCTTAATGCTGTCCAGTGGCCATCTTCCCCATCCACTCACACATTTGCGGCAATATGTGGTCTTGTGTACAATGACCGCAACACAAAACCTGACCCTTGTTCAGTAGCTCATGCTAAGCACCCCAGGCCCTCCTGGGTACCCCAGGCCTGGCTGTCCTCCAGCCTCGCAGAGAACACTTGGGGCCTGGGACAGGACATGGTCAGCAGCAATGCACAGCAGGGGCAAAGCCCAGCCCTTCATCCTAATGTATGGGCCACACGGCCTTCCTGGGGGCGGCAACTAACCCTAGGTGCTGGGGGCCACCTTCTGGCTCTGTGCCCATCTACAGGGCTGTCCAGCACCCTCCTGCTCAGTCCTCCCTGGGAAGAGCTCGTTCCTGGCCAGCTCTAGATGGGAGTACAGAGCTGGAGAGGCCCTGGTCAGCCTTCCAACTGTGGACTGGGCCTTGTGTGGGGCTTCCTCTCTCCCTGGGTAGCAAGCTCCCCCCACTCCCCCCCACCCCAGGGTCTCAGTCCTGGACCCCACGTCTCAGGGACTGGGCCCCAGTCTGAGGCCCTGAGGGCAAGGGAGACCAAAGGGAGCAGGAACTGGAGCCAGCCAGGGTGACTCAGCCCTGTCACCTGCCCGTGTGACACTGGAGGCATCTCACCCTCCAAGCTTCGGCTACCCCTGGGTATGGGGAACAAGGCCCTGCAAGGCCCAGGGCAGCTCAGGTGTAACTGTGCACAGAGATCACATCAAGTGCCCACTTCCTCAAAGGCTGGGGCCAGGTATCCTGGCACCTGGGGCTCCAGTCCTTCTGACAAACTGGGTGCCCACCCCTAACGGGCTGTGGCTATGGTTGCACAGGTGAAGGTGTGTGCAAAGCCAGCCCTGGGCCTCTCCCAGCACCTCTATACACAGTCTGGGGAAAGGCCCACACCTCAGAACCCCTCAGAAAGCTGAGCCCCTGCCCAACACGCCCACCCTCCCACTGGGCAGAGGCAAAGACTTGGCCAAGTTGGAATGGCACACGTGTAACCATGCTCCCTGGCCTCCCCGGCAGAGCTGGTGGCCTTCCAGGTGGCAGTGCTGGAGGTGGAAGGCAGTGGGCTCTGGCTCCTGCGGGACATCTACCAGCTCTACAAGGATGACCCGGAGGTGGTGGAGAACCTGTGCATGCTGCTGGCCTACCTTGCTTCTTACAGTGAGTCCCTCCCTCCTCCCGCCCCTGCAACTTCTACTCCATGCCCACCGAGCATCCACCCGGACCCTAGGGCAGTGCCAAGTCTAAGTGGCACTGGCAGGCCACCCACCCCACCGGCTGTGGTCCTCAGGATGCTCTCTGCTCTTCCAGAGGAGATTGTATCAGAGCTGGAGTCCGGGGGCATCAGGGCCCTGGCCCAGGAGATGGTGGAACGTTTCACCTCCAGCCTGGTGAGTGGGTGGTAGGGGCTCCAGCCGCCGTTTTCCCACCTGCCTGCTATCCTGTCTCCAGTGCCCGGGGCAGGCGTCACTTTCCCAGAGCTGTACGCACTGCCCTTTGCGTGGTGGTACCCCACCCAATTCCCATACCCCGAAGCTGCCAGTGCACACTTGCTTCCTCCTTCCAGGAGCTGGTCGCATACGCAACCACCGTGCTCCAGAGGCTGGATGAAGTTAAACCCCAGGTGAAACCCAGCCCCCCCTCAGGGGAGACAGAGGTCCCCAGGGACCTGCAGGTGGCACCCTCCTCTCAGAAGTAGAACCTCCCTGGGGAGGTTTCGGGGAGGGTCACCAAGCCAGTACACCCCAATCACACCCTTCACGACTAATAAAAATGCCAAGGCTCCTTCCTGGTGTGCCCAGTTGTTTTCGGCCTAATTGGGGCTCTCGGAGGGCTCTAGATGCTGCAAGAAGCCAGGCCTCCACCAACTATCCAAGTCCTTTATTTTGCACCAGAGGGAGGCAGGACTTTCACATGCTAGGCAAGCACTCTGCCTTTGAGTGACACCTTCTGAGTGTGCACCTCTCCTGCAGCGATCAGGTGACTCCCCAAGCCCTGGGCTCCCCTCACTGACCAGTGTGGCTGGCCATTCCTGACACTGGCCATGCCAGAAAGCCACAGCTTGGTCAGATTTCAGTCTTCCCAGTCCAAGAGCCTTGGGCCAGAAGAGGCAACTTCCAGACCACTGTGGACTGTGAGTCTTTGCAGGTACTGGCCTCCCAGCTAACTCAGGGACAAATGAGACAAATGCAAGTGTCAAAGGATCCAGGGGCCACAACAAAGTTCAATGAGGAAGCTACCGTGCCAGCCTGCTGGGTGTCAGGAGCTACCTGTGGGCACCTGGCCTGGCAACTCCACAATCAAGCCTCGTTTGTCCACTTCTTCCCCAGGGGAAGGCTTTGAGTGGCTTGGATCCCTCCAGAACCTACTGCCACAGCAGCCTCAGGCAGCCCACCTCTAGGCTGCACCATGTCACCAGCTGTGGCAAGACCGGGTCCACAGCAGAGCCGAGAGAACAAGGTCTAGCAGCTCACTTCCATAACCCGCAGCCACAGCCTCCAAGTTTCACATGTTACCATGCTTTGGTCTGAGTTGGTCCTAATGCCACTGGACCCAGTGCCACTAGCCAGACAGGGAGGGCAGGGCTAGGCGTCACCCTTGCAGTGGGCTGGGGCGGCCGCTGGGGGGCGCCTGTCCCTGGCGGTGCTCTCCCACTCTCTCTTCACGGTGACGTAGAGCCGCATTGCTGCCTGGGCGTCTTGGACCTGGAGACACGCAGTGATGCTAACCACCCAACAGCTGATCACAGGCTACACAGTCAGCATGCTCTGCCCCTCCCCCCCCACCCCCACCCCCCGGCAGTGTTGGGTGGGCAAGCCACAGCGGGAGGTCATGGGGGAAGACTTCACAAGGCCCAGGTAACTAGTTCTCCAGGTCTCCATCATTTCTATTATGAAGAACAAGATGCCCCTCTCCTCTGGCTTCCTGTCCACTGCAGCATCAACTGCTTTAAGGCCTCGCCCCAAGAATGCCTCTTCTCTTCATAAAGTGCTCAGCCTCAGGTATTTCATTACAGTAATATAAAATGGACTAACATAGCCTTCTGTTAGATTGGACTTTTCTCTGAATAGTTACAACATGGCACCTTTTTTGGTGTTAGTTGAATGTATCATTTTTGTTTGTTTTTGTTGGTCGTGGGACTTGAACTCTTGGCCTGGGTGCTGTCCCTCAGCTCTTCAGCTCAAGGCTAGCACTCTACCACCTGAATCACAGTGCCACTTCCAGCTTTTTCTACTTATGTGGTGCTGAGGAATCAAACCCGGGGCCTCATGCATGCGAGGCAAGCACTCTACCACTGAGCCACCTTCCCAGCCCTGAATGTAACATTTCATAAAGCCACTCTGCTGTGTCCTCTAAACCAGAAGCCATCCAAGACCCCACCCCTTCCTTTATAAGCCTGAGTTTCAAGGTCAAGGACAGCTACCACCCAGGGCCTGTCACTCAAGGACACACTTACTGAACAATGCTCTGCCTGCTGGACCCTGAGTCCCAGGATTTTCTCAGAGAGCAGCTTCAGAGATGGTCTTCCGCTCTGCAGAGGGGAGATGGTCCACAGTCAGCTGGGGGCGGTGCCTCCACCTGACCAGCTCTGAGCCCAGCCAGGGACTGGCAGTTTGCCTCACTCGGGGAGACCCATAGCACTTGGGAATGCAGCACCAGTCAGTCATGGCTGGTGAACCCCCCTTGCCAGTAAAGAGGTGAGGAGCTGGGATGTGGTGCTTTCCTAGCAAGATCAAGTTACGGGGTCCATCTCCAGCACAGGAGAGGGTGGGAGTGGGGACAGCACGGCACCTTCCACCCTGGTAGCCTCGGGCCCTCCCTCACCAGGACTCGCTGCAGAGATGAGCACACACAGTGGGGCCTGCTCAGGCTCATCTTCCAACTGACCATCACCACAACACCACCCTTTTTTCTTTTCTTGCAGCGCTGAGGACTGAACCCAGAACTGTGCCCGTGCGTTCCATCACCGCGCTGCACCCTACCCTGCTTTCTACTCTAGGATGCGTTTTAGAGGTTAAAAGGAAACCCTTTACCCAGCAGGTAGTACCAGGGTCACAGTGGGGCAGCACTGGCCAAGTACCTTCACTCTAGCCTTGAAGGGCTTGTACTTCTGTGTGTCCCGGATCTTCTTTTTTGGATGATCAAGAAACAGCACCTAGGAACAGGAAATGAGCACTCTCATTCTCACTCTGCATACAGGAGCCCCTTTCCAGACAGCATCCTGCAGACCCCGTGGGTGACACACACAAAATAAAGGCCCAGAGATAAGCCCGGATCCCTGCTGCCCCCCAGTACTGGAGGTATGTGAATCAGGGCCTAGCACTTGCTAGGGTAGCACTCGTATCACCTGAGCCACACCTCCAGTCCTACTTGTTTTTGGAGTTTGATTACATATAATGGGAAGCTGAGATTTGAGCAGCTCAACCCTGCAAGTTCAGCAAGTCTCTCTCTCACACACTCACACACACACACGAACAAACATTCTGCACAGGGTGGGGGTGGGGGAAAAGACACCACCCACTGGTAGTCTCTGAAGATGATTCAATGCTTTCAATACTTACTTTATGTTACAATTTTTTATCTTCCAGGTGCTGAGGATGAAACCCAGAGTTTCTACAACTAAACTATACTGTCAGGCTGCATTTGGGGGTGGGGGGGGTCGAGTAATTCCAGGGTTTTGAACACAAGGCCTCATTCTTGCTAGGCAGGTGGCTCTACCACTTGAACCAAGCTCCAGCCCTTTTTTGGCTTAATTTTTCAGATAAACTCTTTCGTTTTTGCCTGGGCCAGTCTACCATGATCCTTCTACCTAAAAGCCTTCCACACAGCTGTGATAACAGGCACACACCACTATCTCCAGCTTACTGCTTGAGATGAAGTCTTAGTAACTTTTCCCTGGGTCGGCCTTGAACTGTGATCCTTTTGATCTCTACTCATGAACTACCATGTACAGCGCCTAAACACTTACTTAAAAGGAAGTTAAAGCTGGGCAGCAGTGGCTCACACCTGTAATCCTAGCTACTTGGGAGGCTGAGGTCTGAGGATCGCAGTTAAAAAGCTGCCCAGGCAGGAAAGTCCATGAGACTCTTATCTCCAATAAACCACCAGAAAACCGAAAGTGGCTCCATGGCCCAGGTGGTAGAGTGCTCACCTTGAGCTGAAGAGCTGAGGGACAGCGCCCAGACCCAGAGTTTAAGTCCCATGACTGACAAAAAAAAAAAAAAAAATATTAAAACCACTAGAGGTTCCTGAAACACAGGCCTCTCAAATACTAGAGTCTTATAATGCTGAGCAGCCCCAAAGACTGAGGCCAGGAAGGACATCGCGAGGTTCTAACCTGCAGGAGCCTCAAGGAGTAGAGGCCAGAAGCCACACACCTTGACCCAAGAAAGGCCTTCTAAGCTTTCCTACCCTCTCCCACAGGACAGTGGGTGGCCAGCTGTGAAAGAAGCCAAGCAAGCCTAGAATAGCTGCCTCAGGAACATGTCCACACCCAACTCCCCACTGCTGGGAGCAGCTGCTGGCTCTGCCTACTGAGGATGCTCAGCAGTAGTGGGAGAAGCACTGTGCAGTGTTCCTGGCACACTGTAACCTTAGCAGGACTCAGTGCTGTGATCTGTAAGAAGAACATGAATCTCTGGGGGGTTTCTTCCCCCTCTTTTGGCCAATCCTGGGGCTTAAACTCAGGGCCTGGGCACTGTCCCTGAGCTTTTGCTTAAGACTAACACTCTACCACTTGAGCCACAGTGCTACTTTGGTCTTTTTCTGTGTATGTGGTACTGAGGAATCGAACCCAGGGCTTCACGCATGCTAGGTAAGCATTCTATCACCAAGTCACCTTCCCAGCCCCTCCAATGGTTTTGTTTTCTGCTTTCACAGAATGTTGTAAAGGGGCCACCTACTAAACTGCTGCCTGGCCCAGAAGAACCCCACACCCTGGCAGCTGAGGGAAGAGCAGAAGCATCTCTTCTGCAACCAGATTGGGCTCCCCACTCCCTCCACCCCTGCTCCCTGCAATTGCCTGTGAACTTAAAAGTAACCCATGGATTGTGAGCACGCCGGCTTTTCCTAGGTGTCTGAGGGAGACACAAGGTTGGGCTCCCAGCATCAGGGCAAGGCTCCAGAGGCACAAACTGGACACAGGTCAGAAGCCACAAGGACTCAGCCAGCATAACCAAGTTTCTGGTGTGCTGGGCCCTGGGCACGGGGAAGGCGACTGGACATCAGGCCTTCGGCCAGGTGAAACAGGTGAACTCACAGCCAGCCCTTCACCAAACCCAGAGCAGGGCTGCCAGCTGCTCTGGCTCTGGAGCCCTCATGCTGCCAGAACTTCCAAAACCAGGACCTAGTATGGTCCTTCGAGCACAGCAAGGAATCAGAAGTGGCACTGGACATACTGAGATTTCCAGAATAGGACATAGATTTAAAAATGAAAGATACAATAGTACTAGGTGCTGGTGGCTCATACCCGTAATCCTGATATCCAAAGGATCATAGTTCAAAGCCAGCCTAGACAGAAAAGTTCATGAAACTTTGTATCTCCAAAATAACTAGCAAAAAACAGGCCTAAAAGTGTAGCTGAAATGGTAAGAGCACCAGTTTAGCCAGTAAACTGGAAGAGGGCAAGGTCCAAGTCCAAGCTCTGGTGCAGGAGGGAGGGGGATCACATGGAGACCCTCTGGAGCCAGAGGGCAGGAGGGGTATACGGCACAAGGCACCTTTAAATCGTTGTGCAGCGCGTGCCCCACCAGGATTCTACCCTTCAGCATTTCAGCAACTTCTCTCTTCACAATCTCAAGTTTTTCACCTAAAAATCAAACCAAAACAGTCTTTAGCACTAGTTCTCAGAATGAATCAGCCATTCTCGGAGAGGGCTCCTCCTGTCACCCCCATGCAGCCTCTGCCTCAGCTGTATGGAACTGGACTGCTTGTGGCCCATTTACAGCAACCCCCTACCTGATCTCCATCAGGTCCCCATGCTGTGTGCCAGCCACAGTGCCAGACGCTAGGCCCCTTCCCACCCATGGCAGACTGAAAACCAAAGGGGCGGGACCTCAAGATTATTTGAGGGCAACTGGAGCCTCTGCTCCAGACCTCATGGGCCCCAGGGGGGAGGGGACTGTGCAGGGCATGCACTTTGGGTTCTTGCCCACTTCTGGGACAGCAGGAATGAGAGGGCTGTAAAGATATGTGGACCAGTACAGCCTCCCAACTCCTTCCTGGCCCAAAGAAGCGCATGGCATTTAAGACCTCTCAGAGCCACCAACAGTGCAGTTCTACTCCATGTAATAATAAAAGACCAGGGCTGAGCTTCATGAAGTAAAAATGCCTAGCCAAGTGCTGGTGGCTCAGGCCTATAATCCTAGCTACTTGTGAGGCTGAGATCTGAAGACTGTGGTTTGAAGCCAGTCCAGGTACAAAGACTGCATGACTCTCAGCTCCAATTAATTACCAAAAAGCCAGAGGTGGACCTGTGGCGCAAGTGGTAGAGCACTAGCCTGGAACAAAAAAGATCCAGGTAGCTGGGCGTCAGTGGCTCACGCCTGTCATCCTAGCTACTCAGGTGGCTGAGATCTGAGGATCGCGGTTCAAAGCCAACCCGGGCAGGAAAGTCCATGAGACTCTTATCTCCAATAAGCCACTTCGAAAACCAGAAGTGGTAGAGTACTTTCCTTGAGCTGAAGAGCTGAGGGACAGCACCAAGGCCCAGAGTTCAAGCCCCATGACCGACAAAAAAAAAAAAGGTCCAGGTCAGCATGAATTTAAGCCCCAGTATTAGCAAAAACAAAAACACAAAAACTCCTGCCTGATCATCTTCCACAGACACTGGGCTTCCCTAGATCCAGTCTTGAGAGTCTTCTGTCTCTCCCCAGAAGACCCCATTTGAGGACCACACCACCAGGAAGGTTCCAGAAGCACACTTGTGCCATGTGGCCATACCCAACCCTGGCTGGTGCATGGTACAACTTCCCTCACTGAACCAAAAAGCAAGAAGTACTGGTTGGTACAGGAGTAAGCGGTGACAGGGCCACTCTGTGTGCACCCGAGAAGCAGGCAGTATGCAGAGTGGGGGGTGGGGGGAAGCACAGGGCCTGATCCCCAAGGAGACCTGGGCATCTGCTAGGATGTCCTGTCCCTGTCATCCCACCACAGCCTTGGATATATGGGGCTGGACTCTTAGATCAAACCCCACCCAGTGCCCAGGTGTAGACACACAGCAAGGACAGCAGTGCGGTACTTCCCCCTTTGGGGCCCACGCCCACCATTTTGCGGTCCCTGCGGAGGCAAGGAACGCCAGGTGCAGCAATGTTTCTGAACAGCCAGGGCCAGGGGAGCATGAACCCGCCCCCGGGAGACGTACCCTGCTTGAGGTCCTCGGGCCGGATCCCACTGACGGCTGTCCTGTAGTCTGTCACGGGCTCGGTCGGCCTCACGTACTTGTCATACACACACATCCCGTGCTGGTTCACGAGCGACACCCGGGCTGCGATGCTGTCCTCCCCCTTGGGGCCGACACCCACCATCTCACAGTCCATGGCCAAGGCTTTCGTCAGGCTGAGGGAATCAGAGGCACTGGGGGAAGGGCTCCAGGCCCCACCCTCACCACTGTACCGCCATGGATGGGCTGCACAATCATGGGACTTGGTGGGGCCATGTCTGTTCCACTCCAATACAGCAGAGAAGGAGGGGGGTAGTCTTCTTCCCCAGAGTCCCACCCCCAAAAGAACATTCTGAGCTACCCGGCCTGAGCCCAGCATACCCGCCAAAGGCCTGCTCCTTCACTAGAGAGATGCTGCTCTCCTTCTGGCCCAGCTGTCTCCGTGCTATCCTGGCCGCCTCTGGGCCCATGGCAGCTTCAATATCCATGGGGTCCACATCATCAAACCAGATGTCCTCCCTAAAAGACAAAGACGGCAGTGAGCCGGGCGGGTAGGGGCCTGCTGTCCAGAGGATGACAGAAGGGAAAGGGAAGGGTGCCCCACCCCCCACCAGCCTGGCCAGGCCAGAGTGGGATTATCTCAGCACCTTCCCCATGTTGATCCTCTCAATTAGCACATACACTGAATATCCAAGATTCAGAAGCCACAGACCAACACAGAATACCAACAGAAACCTATGACCCACCTCAGTAGAATGACAGCTGCCATTTTCTTTGTAATTACACAAAGGATTATTAAACAGGAAACACAGATGGGCACTGACGGCCTGGTGAATTCCAGCTTTATGCCCACCCAACACCACTCCCATAGTTACTACAGTAAGGACCTGCCCCCTGCGTAGGTCAGTGTGAGAGGCAGAGCTGTGACAGCAGCTCACAGACTGCCCCATGTAGGGGCACAGGGAGGCACCCTTCCACCTGCAGCAACTATGTCCCGAAGACACTCTGACAGGAAGCCAGCCCCTGGCCTTCCACATGGAGAGATGACCCCTTCCTGTCAAGAAGTTGCCAGGCACTAGGCCAAGCATGCTACACCTCACTGTCTCCTGACTCCACAGGAGCAGCTCATGCTAGGAACCAGCTCCAGTATTCCAGCAGGCAAGAAGAATGCATTTCCTATGTCTTTCTGGCTCCAGCATCCATTCACAGTGCAAGTTTGGGTCTGTTTTTGGCTGTATAGGGATCAAACTCAGGCCCTCCAAGCTCCCAGCCATTCATTTGAACCATGCCTGAGTACTAATGTTACAAGTTTTTTGGGTTTTTTTGGTCAAGACTGGGACTTGAACTTGATACTTGCTTTGTTGGTTAATGCTCTACCTAAGCCACACCTCCAAACCCAGTTGTTTTTGTTTTTTTGGGGGGGTCTGGTTGTGGGGCCTGAACTCTGGGCCTGGGCGCTGTCCCTCAGCTCTTCAGCTCAAGGCTGGCACTCTACCACTTGAGCCACAGCGCCACTTCCGGGCGCTGTCCCTCAGCTCTTCAGCTCAAGGCTGGCACTCTACCACTTGAGCCACAGCGCCACTTCCGGCTTTTTTTTTCTTTTTGGCTTATGTGGTTCTGGGGAATCGAACCCAGGGCCTCAGGCATGCAAGGCAAGCGCTCTACCACTGAGCCACCTTCCCAGGCCCTCCAAACCCAGTTTTGGCTGATGCTTCCTAAGCACTGAGCTTTGTGCCAGGCCCCAGAGGCAGCAGCGACTGTAACCGACCTCTGCCTTCCCCCATCCCACGCTCCGGAGGGAACAAGTAACTGGACAAAGTAAGGAAGACTATCAGGCCACCTCTACATGGCTCCTTGACAGACAGGCCTTGGCACCTTCTCAGTTGTGAGGATGATGGAGGCCGGGCAGCCAGGTGTAACATTTAGGGCCCTCTTGGGCTGGCACACCAGGAGGCTTGTGTCAGCCACCACAGCAGAGACTGCAGAGATGACTAATACTTACTCGGTGGGTATGGCTGGAGTCAAGGCCACAGCTGCCTCCTTAGTTTTCCTCTTCTTATGCTTGATGTCCCCTTGTTTCAAAGAGATGGGACCATTTGTCCTTCTCTTGGCTCCTTTCTGGTGCTCTGCTTTGCTTGCCTCTGTAGGAGGTGCCAGTAACGTCCTGTCCCTCTTAGAGGTAGAGGCAACAGAGCCCCGAGTGGTCTCTTGGTCTTTCCTAGGCCGTGAATCGCCTCCCTTTGATTTAGCTGAGCTCTCTTTTCCATTCTGCTGGCTGATTTTGGGGTGATTTTTCAGATCTATTTGACAGACAAGAGGCTCTTCTGGGGCCTGTGATTTTTGTTTCAGCAGCTAGTGGAACAAAAATAAAATACAAGCCATGTTTTAATTTGGAAATAACACAGCAGACGAAAAGCTTGTGTTTATATACATGTATAGATGTACACACACCTACTGTACCTACAAACACTTCCTGTCAGCATCACTGATATGAGATGATTTTCTTTTTTTTTTTTCCCCGTTCCAGTCCTGGGCAGCTTTTCTGCTCAAGGCTGGTGCTCTACAACTTGAGCCATAGCCTGCCTTGTCTCATTTAGTAGTTAACTGGAGTCTCATGAACTTTCCTGCCTGGGCTAGCTACAAACCGCACTCCTCAGATCTGAGTATCTAGGATAAGCAGGTATGAGACACCAATGCCTGGCAATGTGAGTTTTCAAAGTTTGAAAAAACCCCTTTTCACTCTGACCTTGGTGGTGAGATGCTTTTTTCTTCACTTATCACAATGCATACTTTTCCACATGCTCCTTTATTCCTAACAAAACATCAAACTCATGTTCTACCCTATAAGTGTCTGCTAGTGACCAAACACCCCAGAACACTCCCCTGTGAATGGGGAGGGTGGTGCAGAGGTGTGTGTGTGTGTTTACCAGCAGCTCATTTTCACTTCTTATGTAACCTGAGCGTTCATTTTAGTTTCTCCGCTTGTGGCTCAGGTCAGTGTGAGGACAGTCACCACTTCCTTCACACCACCTCTGTTTGCTGCTGCTCAGAGTCCCTGGATGTCAGATGTGTAACATTCAACAGCTAGAAAGATGCCTGCCACACTGCAGGCAGCTGGTGAGCTTCCGGCAGCACAGCTCTGACTTCACTCCAGCCCAGGCTCTCTGAGGTGCTGGAGCCCAACTTCCTCCTTGTGCTCAAATCCCCAGCTGGGCTGTTCTGGACCACATTGAAGACTCTGGCACAAAGCAGCCATCTGACATGATGAAGTGAGTGCCCACCATTCCCAATACAGTTAAAGATCTTGAATGATTTACTTTTTGCAGAAATCCTGGGAGTTCCCCTATAGTAAACCTCCATTCTTTTGTTTTTAGTCTTGCTGGCTTCAAGTAGTGATACTCCCATCTCTCAAAAGCTAACATTACAGGCATGCATCATGAGACCTGGCTCTTTTCACTTCACTCATTTAATTTTGTGTTTCTTAAGGGCCAGTGCTGAGGAAATCATACAGAATGTGGGACTGGGGGGGGGGGTTCTGACTGGTCCTATATGTCAAGACAGGGAAACGACTAGGAATGTCTACACCAAGATACCAAGGGGACCCGCTAAGTCCTTTATCCTCTCGCTCTTGTTCATTAAGCTTCCACGATTTGCCCTCGGAGCACGGAGAGCTCGAGTCAGAATGGAAGAACCGGTATCCTCCTTCTGACGTTAGGCCAACTTCCTTAAACTCTGCCTGCCTCAATTTCCTCATCTAGGAGAAAGTACTAGAAACATGCAGGCGGTCACGAGCAAGGCACCGCGCGACCTCCACAGTCCTAAGTGCCGGCCGCCACTGGAAGGCACTAGTGGCCCGGACCTCGGGGCCAAACGGCCTGGGTTCAAATCCCGGTTCCCAGTCGCAGTCTCGGACGGCTTACTCGGCCTTTTCTCACTCGCAGAAGACAGAGGGTCTCCTGGGGGCCGCAACCACGGGGG